CCCATTTACCCTGAAGAAACTGAGAGACGCCTCTTCAATCCTGCGGCTCGGAGTACCATAGCGGCCTACGTCCGTAAGGCAGATTATTGCCTTAGGCACATTACTCAACTTCGTGTTGGGGAAGTGCCCCCTTGGCTGGAGACGGGCTGGTCATTCCTAGCCTGGGCGTATCTTTCCACCAGCCACACCGCTCCAAGGGGCCCTGGCTTCATCAAGGTGGAGGAAAAGTACCATTGGATATACAGCAGGACCACAAGAGTACAAGGCTTTATTTGACATCAGCACCTGATGTACCCAGATGCCATCAATATCTGTAGGGGTAGAATCCATCTCTATTTCTGGGATGACAGAGGAATCCTAACAGCTGACTGTATTGGAAGCTGAAGTGATCCTGACTGGGAATGAGGGGCAAAACCTCATTGTAACTGGCCCAGTGGCCCTCATTGTAACTGGCCCAGTGGCCCCATGTATCCTTTGCAGACCTTACCTCAGGAGAGGATATTGTAGGGATATATCAGGAAAGACAAGGCAGCCCTGTGAAGTCCTATGTGATGAGTTGCAGAAGTTACTGAGGGACAACGTGAATCAAGTCAGGTTGCAGAGCTGAAAGCTATCCAGCTGGCTTTGGCTATTGCTGAATATCGCTGAATGAGAGAAATGACCACTGACTCATGCACAACAGCAAATGCTCTGCGAAGGTGGCTGGACAATGGAAAAAGACCAATTGGCAGTGCAGAGGGAAACCCACCTGGGTTATTGAATTGTGGCAAGACATTGCTGTGGCAGCAGCTCTCTGGTCACAGAGAGCAACAGACAACTTTCCCAGGCCTTTCTGGGAAAAGTTTGTGAGAAGATTAGAGAAAAGAATGAGAAACAATTCTTATCTTAACTTGCTGCACCTGTTGTTGTGAAAATGTGGAATGTGTTATGGAGATGTGTTTACCAAAGGGTGGTTTCTTAATTAGCCAATAGTGATGGTGTTTGGGTTGGAGGACCAATTAGGTCCGGGTGTATTGTAACTGTCTATAAAAGCAATGGATTTCTTTAAAATAATAATGGAATAAAGAGATTGATCAGCATTTTGTGAACGATGGCGTCAATGCTAATTATTACCTGGCAGGAGCCCGTTGCTGTGACACATTGATGCCTGGGTAGAGAAGTTGGCTGTGAAAGTCCATCCTGTGGATGCTCACGTATTCAAGAGTTGGCCAGCGAAGAGCATCACAACAATGGGCAGGGGATTGGGCTGCCAGGATTAAAGTGTCTCAAGTGGGTCTGGACTGGCCACACAAGGGTGAGTTATTTCTGGTTCAGTGGGCCCCTTTGGCATCTAAGGTCATCAGGGAAGAGATGTATCACACAGATGCATCATGACTGAGGGGTAGACTTAATAATGGACACTATATCCTGAGTAATCCATGACTGTGAAATGTGTGCTGAGATCAAGCAGGGCCAGGCGAGTAAAGCCCCTGTAGTGTGGGGGACGATGGTTGAAACATAAATCTGGGGAAGCCTGGCAGATCAATTGCATCATACTGCTGCAACCTCTCCAAGGCAAGAGCTACATGCTGACAGTGGTAGAAGGTATGACTGGATGGCTGGAGACCCATCCTCATGCATTATGCCACTTCCTGGAGCATCATGTTGACCCTTGAAAAACCCTTGAAAAACAAGCCCTGTGGCAAAGTAGCAGCACTGAAAGAACTGACTCAAACAATGGGACTTATTTCAAAAACAGCCTCATGAACACCTGGGCCCTGGGAAAGCCAAATGGTACGATGAACTGTTAAAAACCACCTTGAAAGCAATGGGTGGTGGGACCTTCAAACATTAGGATCTTCATTTAGCAAAGGCTGCCTGATCAGTGAGCACCTACCACGCTCTACCCAATTGAGCTGGCCCTGCCCAAACAAAACATCCACATACTGGAGAAGGGGATAAAATACCTGTGGCGCATATGAGAAGTGGGTTAGGGAAAACTGTTTGGATCAGTCCTGCCTTAAGCAGAGGCAAACCTATCCATGGCATTGTCTTTGCTCAAGGACCCTGGGGCATTTTGTGAGTAATGCAGGAGGATTTGACTTTGGGTGAGAATAGTCTGTGATGTTGAATTGTATAACATTGGGTGCTGAATGACACTGCCACTGTGTGCTGTAACTCCCATAGCCAATGAGGATGGATTGCTTCAGATACACCAATCATGAGCTCCTGATGCTGCAACCAGCCAACAGCACCACAGCCCTCCTGCCCTGAGAGACATCTAGAATGGACAGTGTTGGCCAGGGTACACCTCGCAAGGCAGAGCTGAAATCACGCAGAGCTGAAATCACTGCTATGAGCTATCTGCCCCTTGCTGAGATTTCCCTGTGGCTGAAGGGCTGCCTGAGACCCCTAGAAAGTTGTCTCTTGCAGGACTGTGGAGAGCTTTGTGGACAGTTGGCTAGCTGAGAAAGGTCACATTGACATAATACCGTTGGTTAAGTTAGAAGGAGGCAAGTCTAGGATTCAGCAGTCAGTGTCCAACCACTGACAAGGACATTGTGCCCTTGGTGCAACAGCAGGATAGAAGAGAGGATCTTTTGCCAAAAATATGAGGATAATTTCAGCAGAATAATCACAAGAATGTAGAAGTAGTAACAAAATAACCATAAGAATATAGAAGTAGGCGTGGTTGACTGATAAGCAATTAACCAATAATGAGCTCAGCTTTGCTATATGTATAGGCTTCATTAACACCAATATAAATATGTGTGAACTATCAATAAAGTTCGAGACTTGCTGATCACTCATATTGAGTGCCCATTTCTTCCACCGATCCAACAAATGGCGACCCCACGACGAGATACTGGCAACGGCAACCACGGTGGATCGGTGTAGGAGTTCGGGTCCTGTCGCAGCAAGGACGGCGAACAAGCGCCGCTGAAAAAGGGAAGGTGCCGCGCCCTGGGCGACCTCAACGGAGAGTCCGGCTAATACGTACTGCCGAGACCTTGTAGGGCTGCAACAGCACTGACGTTTTTAAAATGGATAGAGAAAGGCAAGCAGCATATGATTTATTTACTAGCTTTTTACAAAAGCGTCAGGTTAAGGGCATAGATTTGCAGAAGGAGCTTCCTGGGTTATTAGCTTATGGGTATGAACAGGGAGGTTTTCAAAATCCTCATACAGTACATGAGTTAACAGAGTGGCATAAATTTGGGGACAAGCTGTGGGAGGCAGTCATAGATGATGATAAAACTGCAAAAAAGTTGGGAAAGCTATGGCGAGTTGTGCATGATGAGTTATTACAATATCAGGCGGAAAAGAAGGCTGCTCAGCAAGCTAACGTGGCACATGAAAAGAATAAGGGTTATGGGGACTGGTGTAATTGTCCGTTACCCCCTGCCACATCCACAATCATTTTGCCACCATCGGCTCCTGCTTCAAGCAGCAGCTCACCCCCTACGTGTGCTACAACAGCACCGTCCGCACCGCCTGTGTCAAACCCTCCATCTCCTCCTCCTAGTAATGTGCCAATCCCTGGGTCAGAGAGTGACCTAGCGGGGGCCATTGCATGGGGCGAAGGGAGGCATGGGCAGCGGTAGCAAAAGATATCATGGATACGGGGGATGAGGAGGCTATATAAGCAGCTATGGATGTTGCTTGTCCGGTGATATATTCACCTGTGGCAGGGGGTGGGTTTCAAGCAACGATAACTAATCTAGACTGGAAGTTGTTGTTGCAATTATGGTCCACAGTTAGTCAATTTGGGGTAACTGGTGAGCCCACAAAACAAATGCTTGATTATATCTGGGGGACTCAGGTTTTGCTGCCAGCTGATTGCAGAGGAATAGCGAAGCTTATCTTCACTCAGCATCAGCAGCTCTTGTTTAATGCACACTGGCAGTCACTCTGTCAGGAATGTGTAGCAGTAATATGGCAGCCAGGCGACCCATTACATGGGATAACCCTAGAGGAGTTAATGGGTCAAGGGCCTTTTCTTTGGACAGAAGCACAAGCGTTACTCGGTCCTGATAAGTGTCGGGAGGCGATGCGTCTGGTGCAGTTGGCTATAGATAGGATAAAAGAACCAGGGGGGATTCCTTCTTATATGGGAATAAAGCAAGGAAGAGATGAGTCTTTGGATCTTTTATAGATAAGGTAGCCAATGCTATTGAGCGGGCAGGAGTCCCTGATTTCATGAAGGGTACTTTGTTAAAACAATGTGTACTCCAGAATAGTAATCAGACTACAAAGAACATATTAAATACCCTAGGAGCTAATTGGTCTATAGAAGAAGCTTTAGAATGATTGGCGAATGTGCCCGTAGGGAATCAAGCAATGTTAGTAGATGCTATTAAGGAGATAGGAGTAGGATTACGAAAACAGGCAGAAGCCTCACAGAGTCAGGTGTTAGCTGCTCTTGCCCCCTACAAGCAGCGGCAACAATTACTCCACGGGCTCCATCTACTGGCGATTCAAATGTTACCGGTGTGGAGGTACAGGACATATGCGACGGGCTTATCAAGCAGCCAGGGTCTGGTGCCAAAATTGTCCCTTGGATACCCACAACACCGGAGCCTGCCAACGCCACTCGGGAAACGGGAAAGCCAGCGCATCCACCAGCCGCCGCGCCCAGACACAAGTAGCTGCTGTCAACATCTCAGCCCAGCTTCCCTTCAACCAGACACCGCCGGGAGCCTCAGATTGAACGTGGCAGCCGCAGCAGCAGTAACCTTGATGACCACCCAACCGGAAAAGGTTCCGACTGGAATAAAGGGACCAATCATCATTGATGGATTACCTATGGGAACTTCTGGGTCGTTCATCGGCTACCAAAATGCCCCTTGTGTGTTCCCTCGGACCCCCAGGTGCTCTCCAGCTGCCTCTCCGACCCCTAAGTGCCCCTCCAGAGCCTTTAACGATCCCGCAAGCACACCCAGCTGGCCTCCATGCGCCCCTCGAGTGTCTCCTGGGAATTGGCGTGATGACGACAATGTAGAGAAAGACCCTGACCCTGTTGCAGTATCAGCACCAGTTCAGCCTTTAATTAAAATTTGAATCAAAACTGCAATTGCCTATGTGGGGGATGGACAGGGCCCCCAACTTTTTCGTGCCACTCCCGTGGTCCCTCTTGGAGCCAGGGAAATTGCAGGAAAAACATTCCTGCATGTTGCGTGCATCAAAATTTCATGGTAATCGGGAACAGGGTCTGTGTGGTGAGCTTCCCTGACAGGCGCAGATAAATCCTGTCAGATGAAGAATAGGTTGAGAGGACTTTGGGGCCCTGGCGTATACACTTCTGTAGCCCGTCCCAAAACCCCAGAGACCTCCTCCATCCCCTACAGACTCCCCGGTAGATCCCAAATACCCTCAGAATCCCCTCAAAATGCTCCATAGCTCTCCCTCCCCAAACACCCTATGAACCCTCAGAACCCTCCCAAACTTCCGGAGGCTCTCTAAAATAACCCATAGATCTGCCCACTCCCCCACACCCCCTAAAAGGGACTACCCCAGGGCCTCAACTAGTCACAGACTGCCTGAGCCACTTTTTGGGCTGATATGTATGTAGGTATAAATCTAATAGAGATATAAAATATAATATAAAAAGGGGCCTCCAGGAGAGCTGTGGAGGGTCTTTTTCAGGGGACAGGATGGAGGGTGAGGGTTTTCACCTGCCAGAGGGCAGGGTTATATGAGATACTGGGACAAACTTCCTCCCTGTGAGGGTGGTGAGACCCTGGCACAGATTGTCCAGAGAAGCTGCAGCTGCTCCATCCCTGGAAGTGTCCAAGGCCAGGTTGGACAGGGCTTGGAGCAACCTGGGATTGTGGAAGATGCCCCTGCCCATGGCAGGGGGTGGATCGAGATGACCTTTGAAGTCCCTTCCAACCCAAACCAGCCTGGGATTCTGAAAGTGGGGGAGGTTTGGGATGGGCGACCTTGGCTGACCCCAGGTGCTCCCCCGGGCTGCTCTGTCACTCAGGCTTCATGGAGAGACAGCAAGAGAAAACCTGATGAGAAAGCTCCTGGGGGAGTTGGGTTGGGGGGGTGTGAGCCCCTCAGGTGGAGGCAGCTGGAGCTGCAGGCAGGGCAGCCAAGCAGAGGCTTCGCCCCTTCCGGCCCGCAGGGGCGGGGCTTTAGCAGGGCCTGGCTGGTGAGGGGAGGAGAAGGTTGGGGAGGGGCGAGGACCCCCGAAATGCTCACCCTGCACTGACCCGGCGGGACTGATGGTCTCGGGCGGACTTTGAGGGGCTGCGGGATGCACTTATGGGCATAATGGGGGGTCTTGGGCATCACCTGGGCTCGGGTGGGGTAACTGGGGGACCCCGAGGCGTTCCTGGGGGATCACCGGGGCAAGGGAGGGAATTAGCAGGCGCTTAGAGGTCTGAGGCGGCATTTGGGGGTCTGGGGAGCACTTGGATTCCGGGACAACACTGAGGGAACGGGGAAGCAGACTGGGGCCTCTAGGGGGCACTTGGGGATCCCGAGGGGCACTTGAGGCCGGGCTGCTTTCCCACCTCCTTTGCACCAGACGCTCCGTTCGCTGCTCCAGGCTGAGCTTCTGCGGGAGGAATGCGGGAAGTGACGCGGAGCCCTCCTGAGCCCCCAAATTCCCCCCTCGGTCCCCTCTGGAGCCCTCAGGCCTCACCCGCTCCATCGCCCGCGCTCTCGTTTGGTTTCCCCCAGCGCTCCAAGCTCGGGCGCTGATTGGTTCAGGGCGGGGACGGGCGGGCGCTGCGGCCAATGGGAGGCGGGGGAGGGGGAAGGCAGGAAGCGGCGGCGCCGCCGAGCGCGGCGGGGCAGGGGAGGGGTCCGTGGGAGGCTTTGGGCATGCGCGGAGGGGTTTGGGGGGCTCTGGAGGCGCCGAGGGAGGCCTTGGAGTATAAATGGGGGTTCCTGGAGGGGTTTCCGGGTCTGGGGATGTTGAGAGATGCCCAGGGAGTTCTGGGGGTCAGTGGGGTGGTTTTGAGGGTCTCAGAGAGGTTGTTTGGGATTCCCAGGGAAAGGTTTGGGGTGGAGGGAGGCTGGTGTGGTTCTGGGTGTCCTAGAAAGGACTTGGCTGTGCAGGAGGGTCGAGGGGGTCCCAGTGTGGTTTGGGAGGCCCTCGGGTTGGTTAAAGTGGCAGAGAGCTGGGATCCCGCTGACAAGAGACCCCCAGTCTCCCCATGGACCCCCCAAATCTCCCCTAGGAACTCCAAACCCTCCTAAAGCCCGGCAGGACTCTCTCAGCTCACCTTAGATCCGTAAGCCCGTGCAAGGGAATGGTACCAAAACTGGCTGGCAAATACACTTTCTAGCACAATTTGAAGCATTAGAAAGCAGGCGTTCTTTATCTGTACAGAACACAATGAAGGATTTCTCCTTTAATCTGATGTGTGCGGTGAAACTTTGCCACAGGGTATGGTCCTGGAGGGACCACGAACAGGTCTCTGGTGGTCATATTCACAGAATGCTTCCATATTACACGTGACCTTTCCTTGAACGTTTTCCTTGGGCATGTCCAGTTACGTAACTTGATAAAAGCCCCACTATATTCCTCATTACCTATTTGTCCACTGGCTCCAGTGCTTGTGATGCTCTGTACATACCTTTACATCCTTGCCTGTTAGTCTTTAAGCTCCATCCAGCACCTTCAGGGCAGCTGAAAATTTCTCTTCTCCATGTCACTTGTCAGGAGCCCCAAAACCCTTCCAGGGACCCCCACGGCCCTCCAGGGACCTTGTGGTTTGGGAGGTTCAGAGGGCTGAGGGGATCCCTGCGTAGTTTTGGGGGATCCCCATGTAGTTTTGGGGGTCCCTGGGTGGCTTTGAGGGTGGAGTCTCTGTCTCTGGACAGTTTTGAGCGTCTCTGTGGGGTTCAGGTTTTCCCCATTTTTATGTCTTCATTTTAAGGCAAAAGCCCTTTAATTCCCTGTTTGCCATCATCTCTCCTGACTCCAGGTGGTTTTCTTCAGCTTTTTCAGTCATTTGGGCCAGAATTTCCCATACCCTGGAATTCCTTGCTGGGACTTGGGTCATTAATTTTGGGTAAAAAACGTCTGGATTTGGTCTGTCCTTTCCCTGGTGTTGTGGGGCAGAGGCTACCATGGGGACAGTGATTCTGGGAGTTCAGGGAATTTGGGATAATTGCTGTGGGTCCCACACCTCTCACGACATCCCTGTCACTCACATGTATCAAATGTCCTGAGGGTTCCACTCCCATCATTTCCCATCTGTGACAGGATCCAGCTGCCAGCTCCCAAATTCTCTGGAACTGTGGGTCATGCCCCTTGTCCCCATCCTGAAATTCTGCTGAATCTGCCCAAATCTGCATGGTTTGGCTGTGACTTGAGTATTTTTTATTTGGGTATAAAAGGAGTGGCTTTGGAACACTGTGTGTCTGCAGAAACCCAGGAATTCAAGAGCCAAGGGGCCAGTGAGTAGGGAAGAGTGGGGAGGCTTCATTCCCTGTTTATTCCTGGTTTTCCTTATTGTTTAGTGACAGGCAGAAATTGAGGATTTTTTCTGCCCAAATTTCAGATTTTTTTACCCTTTCCCTTCCCCAATTTTAGGACCATTTTCTCTCTTTTCCCCAAAAGTTCCATCATTTTTCTTCTAAAATGTTGGGTTTCAAACACTTTTTTCCACATTAAACAAAAAATAAAATTGCCCATTCCCCCCCAAATCTCAGGGGTTTGCCCTTTTTGTGCACTTTTCTTCCAAATTTCAGATTTTTTTTCCCTCTTCATGTCCAAAATTTGGTGGGTTTTCTCTTCCCCTTTTTCAGGCCAAATTGAGCATTTGGGAGGGTTTGTGTGGGACAAGGTGAGTGAAGAGTTTTCCTGGATGTTGAGCCCCATTTTGATCCAAATTTGGAGGATGTTGGGCAAAAAAAAATATCCATATACCAAAACTGGGTGGGGAGAATTGGGGAAAAATTCATCCTTTCCATGAAATTTTAGTGTGGATTTGGTGGAAATGGGGTACGGAGTGGGCATCAGGGGTTGGTGGGAGGGCTGTGTCAGCATTTTGACATTAATCCAGGTGATTTTAGTTAAAATTCATCTGGTTTTGGAGTGAATCTGATATAGATGGAGAATCTGATGTGGCCTCAAGGTGGGGAGCAGAATGGGGGGAGGGATATTTAATCCCTGTTTAATTCCATTTTGACCGAAAGGGGGGGATTGGGAGAAAAAATACTTTGACCCAAAGTGGGAGAATTTGGGAAGAAAAACAATTTTGATCCAAACTTGGGGAATTTTGTACAAACTTTTTAGAGTTTGGCATGTTTGGTGTGGACTTGGGGGCAGTGGGGGCCAAAGTAAGTCCCAGGAGGTTTCTGTGGGGTGAAAAAAGGTATTTTAGGGTATTAAAAGACATTTAGGGGTGATTTGGGGGGTGACTTGAGGCTTCTGGAGCCTCAGGGCTCACATGGATTTTTCCCACAAAAGAACAGGTTTTAGTGGTTTTTGGTGTTTTTTTACAGGGGTGGCACAAGACGGGATCTGATGGCTCCTCCTTCCCTTCTGTGGTAAATAAAATTCCTGTTTTCCATGAAAAATCCCCAAATTTCTTGGATTTTTTACTCATTTCCAGACTTTTTAGCACAGAAGATGAAATCCTGAACCCCTGGGCTTGTTTTTGCCTGAAAATTCTGTTCTTCCCCCATTCTGCATTTTTCCAACAACCTCTCAGCAACAGATTTATTATGTTTAACCAAAAATCCCATTTTGAAATATTTTTTTAATCCAAAAGCCTTTATAATCTTCTTCTTTTTGAAAAGAAAATTAATGCCTGATTAATTTTCATGGGAAAAAAAAGTGCACTTTGTCCTGAGTATTTTTGTTTACTTTTTGGTTTGTTTTTTTGGTGGGGTTTTTCTTTGGTTTTTTTTTGTTTTTAGCTAAAATTCTAATGTTCAGTTTTAGTGTTTTACCAGGACAAAACCGCAAGATCTATATGCTGGAATTGTATTTTTTTCCCAGGGAAAAAAGATCTATTTTTAAAAGGTTTTTATAAATGAAAAAACAAAGTCCTTTTATTTGCTCTTTTTTAATAAAAGCAGTTGATTCTTAAGGAAAAATAAAAAAACCCTTTTATTCCTTATTTTCCTGGCTTTTTTCTAATTTTCATTGAGAAAATTATCAGCCCAATTTTTTAGATAGTGTTTTAAATTAAAAAAAACCCTTTATATTCCCTTAATATTTTCTTGTTTCTTCTTTTTTTTTTATTTAGTTTTCTTTTAAAAATTTATTCATTAAGGAAAAAAGCCCTCTTGAATTCTGTTTTAAGTTTCAGCTATTTTTAAAGAAAAAAAACTCACTCTGTTGTAATTCTTAAAATCCCAATTGCTCACGTCCCTCTTGATTTTTCTTCAAAATCCCCTTTTTTAAAAAAAGCAAATAGTTTTCATATATTATTTCAGAAAGGCCCCTTTAATCCTATTTTTATTGATAGTCAAACCTCATTATTCCCTATTTTCCCCCCAAAACACTTGATTTCAATTTTTTTCAGAAAAAATCACCAGAATTTTTTTTAATCTACCATCCTCAATTCCCTATTTTTTAAATTAAAAAACCTCTTATGATGGGCTTTTATATATACACCGAGTTTTAATAAATTTTTATCTCATTTTCCTGGTTTTTTTTTCCCTGACAATCTCAAAAATTCTTTTTTTCTTTTTTTGGTTTTTTTCTTTTTATTAGGAGAAGATACCCATTCTTTTTAACCTCTTTTGAGGCAAAAAACAGCCATTTTGGTTTTTTTGTAGCATTAAAAAAAACTCTGAAAATATTTTTGATCTTTTTACAATATTTTTTGTTTAGTTTTCCTTTTACATATTTCTGGATATTTTATATATTTTTCTATATACATTTTATCTTATACCAAATATGTACAATTTTAATTGCCTAATAATAATATTTAATAGTGTAACTTAATAGCATAATATTGATTAATAGGACAATAATTGCTTATTAATACATTTTTATATTTTTATATGTTGTGGTTAAATTAATAATATACATCCACTACAGTTGTTCCATATGAATGTATAATATAGTCTCCACTGTAATTATATAGAAAATTCAACATATGATCTACTCTGCTGTAATTATGTTGGTATTATCATTATTCTTGATTTGCATTTTTAATAAAAATTTCTGTGAAAAATCAGTATATAATAATAATAATAATAATAATAATAATAATAATAATAATAATAAATTAAAAGTTATATGGACATACAAAAGATGTGAACTATAAAAACATGTAATATATTTTCTATTCATATAATAGTGCATTTATTAATATAGCACTATATTCCTATTATATATAACTATATCTAGTTATTAAGAGATAATTATAAACTATAGAATATATATAAATTACTATAAATGTAATTACATAATGCAATTAAAGAATAATTTACAATGTAATATGGCATGAAGTTGCATAATATTATATGAATTATGTTATTATATATTATAATGTATTATAACTATGCAATTTATGTATATATATATAATATTTTGTGTTAGAATGTCCTATCCACTATCATAATTGTTATATTAATTACATATAATGATAGATTATATTGCAATATAGTATAATATAATGGTATATTAATTCTATTCTAGTCTCTAGTATACTCTCTAACTTTGTAATTGTGCTCCTCATTGCTTATTTTTGCTTGATTTTTGCCATTTCTTCCCAAACCGTTTCTATGAAAACAATCAATAAAATTATTTTAAATCGTTATCTGTATAATTTTGTAGAGAAAATATAAATCATCTACTGATGTATAGATTTATAAAAATACGTTAATTTATTTTCTACTTTGATTAATACGGAAATAAGTTCAATAGCTACATCATTTATTATTATATTACTTTAATTATTTTTAATATTTATGGTTTTGGAATAAATCTTTGCTGATATTTCTATCAAAATTAAGTACAAAATAATAGAAAAAGTACTTCTATGTATTTAAATGTAAGTATTGTATATCACAGTGTTATAATTAATAGATCTCTATAATAATAACATAGAAAACTATATAACTAAGTTATATGATGGATAACAAGTATAATACTACAATAACAGGCTAAAATGTGATTGGCATATTTTTACTGATATATTAGCCCTATATTATTAATATTTTATCAATGTGCTAGTAAGTAGTAATATACTAAATTATATTACATGATACCATTAATATATAATGAACACAGGGTATAATAATATAAATATCTAGTAATATTGTTGTATTAAGGAATAGTATTTTATATAATTAGTATTAGTTAATAATACATTATTTCATATTATTAACACATTGATATATTTTAATAATTTGTTAATAGAAGACAAATATTGTTTATTAAAATAACAAACTGCAAATAGAATTTCTATTTTGACAATATATAAAAATAGACTCTATAAATTGGATAGTGCAGTCATATCTTTAATGTAATTTCAGTACAATTCCTCCTGTAAAATAGGAAAATTGATGTATAAACACATATAGAATTGACCTAAAAAAATTGATATAAAAATCTAAAAGCCCCCTTTGTATAACCCCCTTGGTTAATATAAAAATTAACCAAGGCCCTCTTTTCCCCCTGTTTTCCCAGCACTCTCCAGTGCCAGCTACCGGGGCTGGGAGTTCCATGCTGTGATCCCACAGAACGACAACGAGTCCCCCAGCACGTACCTGCAGCTGCTGCTCGCCTTCTATGGCCCTGCTGACACCCAGGTGTCGGGGATGCTCTGTGGCAGCTCCATCACCCAGAACACCACCCTGAGACCAGATGTCACTGTGCCCTTGCCCTTTCCTGCTACCCTGGAACTCACTGGAAGCCACACTTCCCATAAAACCTTGGTGATTGAGGCCAGTGCTGACATCTCTGTGACGTCTGTCAGTACCAATGGCTACACTGTGGATGCCATTGCCTTCCTACCTATGGAGAGCCTGGGCATCAGGTACTATGTGGTGACACCGGTTGGGAACTAAACTTGCGGCCTGACTGAGTTTATGGTGGCCACTGACCCCACCACCATCACTCTTAGCATCAGCACCAGCACCACTTTCCACTTTGCTGGGGCCACATACATCCCCGTTGCCGTGCTCCGCCTATTCCTGCAGCCCTACCACAGCCTGCAGCTCCAGAGCAGCCAGGACTTCACTGGCACAGTTGTGGTGGCCGACACCCCTGTGGTCGTCCTCAGTGGCCACACCTGTGTCAAGGTATCTGCTGGATTTGACTTTGTGGTGGAGCAGTTCCTCCCAATGACAGTGTGGGGGAGGAGCTACGTGGTGCCACCCAACCCACTGCAGACAGAGGCTGATTTTGTTTATGTGGTGACGGATGAAGACAACACCGTCAACTACAATACTGGGAGCAGGAATGCCACTGTGGCCATGGCAACAAGGGAGGTGCAGACATTCGTGGTGAACTGTGGGGTGCAGAGGTTCAGGGACATCACGCCATAACCAATATGATCCAGTGAAGCCAAATTTATTATCCCTAAAAGGACTATATTTATAATAAGTTTCTACTGTTCACGTGTCTATAGCTAATACATGATTGGTTAATCCTAGCTGTTCACGTATCTAAAATGGAATGCTGATTGGATCATCTAATTTTTCACACATCTTGCTGTGGTTGTCTGGCCCACCCACAATCATGTATAGCTAATACATGATTGGTTAATCCTAGCTGTTCACGTATCTAAAATGGAATGCTGATTGGATCATCTAATTTTTCACACGTCTTGCTGTGGTTGTCTGATTGGATCATCTAATTTTTCACACGTCTTGCTGTGGTTGTCTGTCTCTTTTTTCTCCCTTTCTCAAGCTTGCTGACAAACTTGCTGAGTCCTGATGACTCTTCTTCTTGTATCTTTTTCAAGGACATACCGACCCCATTTCTGAATATGTCCATTATCCATTGTTTGTGAACGTGTCCATTGTCCATTATTACAAGCAGGCTCGATTGTGCATTGGCTGAACGTGGCCATTGTCTTGCAAAAACTCCTCAACCTGCAAAAATCGTCAACAGTGAACCATAACTCCCACCTGTAGATCAGTGCAGTGGTGGCAGTGCAGTTGGTGTTCTTCTTCAGTGGGTCATCTTGGCAAGATCCCTTCCTCCTTCTTGTCCCACCTGTCACCGCCCATTGCACTGCATTCCGCTTTAGCAGTGTGCCCAGCCAGTATAGCCATGCCATCCTCATTGCACCCACCACTACCACTGCCACCACCACCCTCAACCATTGGCCAGACAACACAGTGGCATGGCAGGCCATTCCTGGCACAGATTTCTCCTGGGCCAGCATCACCATGAGTGCAATGATGCAGAGTGCTGAGAACTCGTAGGTGCCCATTGGGCTCCTGGTGTCTGGGTTCCAGACTCACACTGGATATGGTTTCCTGGGGCTCTGTGCTGCCAGTGAGTAAAGTGAGTCAATTGTTGTGTCACCCCAATGGTTGAGTGTTGTGCAGTTGACCATTCATGGGTTTTCCCCTCTTTTTCAGTCCCCACAGCAGTCTCCTGTGAGGATTTGGTATGCGAGAGGTGTGAGATGGTGGATGGACAACCAGAGTGCATCCAGGAGACTTTCTCCACCTGTTGGCTCACTGGTGGGCCACACTACTGCAGTTTTGATGAAAAACCTTTGATTTCATGGGATCGCGGGCCTACACCATGACCACCATCTGCAATCCTGATCCCACCCTTCCTACTTCCTCTGTTGAGGTCAAAAAGGAGGAAAAAGGAGAACTCCAAAGTTTCCTCCATTGGCTCCATCACCATCCAAGTCAACAACGTCACTGTCACTGCTGTCCAGTCAGAGAATGGTATGGTGAGGGTAAGCAAAAACCATCATAATTTCCCAGTTTTTTAAAATTTTGCTGAAATTACATATTTAGCAATGATCTTGAGGGTCTTTTCCTAAATAATTCCCAGATTTGCTGGTATGCAGGTAACCCTTGTATGAAAACACTTCTAGTCTTCTTGAACTCCATGCCCAGTTTTGATGGATTTTGGTTGTTTTGATGGTTGTTGTCCTACAGGTGAGCAACCACCGCTTGTGCCTCCCCATTTTCCTCTGCCACAGGAAGGTCTGCATCCACCAGAAGGGTAAATCCATGTTGATTCAATCAAATTTCAAGCTGAAGGTCCTCTACAGCTGGGATGATCGTGTAGTGATCAAACTTCCGGCTGCTCCTTCAAGAAAAGTCTGCGAAATGTGTGGGAAAAACAATGGGGATCCCCAAGATGACACTCTCTCTCCTGATGGAAAACAAATGTGAGATACTGTGGAGTTTGGGTGGAGCTGGAAGGCGACCAGTGAGAGTGGCCACTGCCAGGACACCTGTGATGGTGACTGTGGGCGGTGCAGATGGGACCAGGTGGTGACATACAAGGCAGAGACCTGGTGTGGGAAGTTGTCCCAACATTCTGGGCCATTCCAGTCGTGTCATGACACTATCAGTCCCAATATCTATGTGAAGAACTGTATCTATGACCTGTGTGCCAATGAGGGGCATCGCAATGTGCTGTGCTATGCCTTCAAGAACTATGCTGATGACTGCCAGGAGAAGAGGATCAATGTTTCCCATTGGAGGAAAGAGTTGGAATGTTGTGAATAGAGGATGGTTGAGTGAAAATACTCCTTGGGGTGGGTGGAGGCTAATTGATGTGGGACTAAAGACCCATGGGATCATGGGTTGAGAAAGACCATGGCAGAAGATCCAAGCAGGAAATCCATGGAACTCCAAGGAGATTCCAGAAAGTCCATGTAGAAAGTCCACAAAGTTGGTGGAGTCTCTAGAAAGTCTGAGCAGGAAGTCTGCCGAGACTCCAGAAAGTCCAGGTAGAAGGCCTAGAAGGTCCATGGAGACTACATAAAATCCATGGAATCTGCAGGGTATCTGTGCAGATAGTCAAAGTAGTCTGTCCCACTATGTACTGCCCCACCTTGACCGCTGTCTCCCTCCCTGTCCAGCTCTCATTTGCCCGCCCTACAGCACCTGAGGCCTTGCCTGCCTCCCTACCTGCAACATCCCTGCTGTGTCATCCAGCTGTGCCGCTGTCAGCACCTGCGTGGACACCTCCATGTGCCACGAGGGCCTTGTCCTTGATGCCGACACCTGAATCGCCCCTTCTGAATGTGGTTGTGTCTTTCAGGGTTTCTTCTATGACCTTGGCAAGGAATTTTGGAGTGACCTCCCTTGCATCCAACACTGTGTGTGTGACGCAGAGCAGCGGCAGACAGTGTGCTGGGATTCTGGTTGTGGCACTGAAGAGGGATGCCAGATGGAGGAGGATATCCAGGATTGTTATCCCAAAATTTTTGGGGTCTGCACTGCTGTCGGAGCCACCCATTATGAGACCTTTGATGGCAAGGCATTCATCTTCCAGGGGATGTGTGTCTTACGTGTTGGTAGGGTTGTCTGAGGACACCCAAAATTTGGTGGGATGCCAGGTGTTGGTGCAGAATGGCCACCTTAGTGACAACCTCGTGTTGTCCATTGCCGTGGTGACAGTCAAAGTCTACAAGAAAACCATCAGCATCAGCAGGGAACATGCTGGAAAAATCATGGTGAGTTTAGGAAATGATCCCTTATCTTTTCATCACATTCTCCACCTCATCCCATGAACATCTGAAATGTCATTAAATCAACATCATTTGTTCCAGATCAATGAGTGGTTGATCAACCTCCTTTTGGGACTTGGTCCTTCTCATTCTCTTAAATCCAAAATTTAATTCAATCAAAAATTTAATTCAATTCAAAATTTAATTAAATCGACACTTTTTGATTGCTCTGGCTGTTGAAAATAGTTTACCCTCAGTCTGCCAATTTGATCAATTTCTATGGTTTTCTCCCCAGACTGATGAGCAGTTGGTCAATCTCCCGTAGCACTACAGTGAAAGAAAGATTGTTGTCTATTGTCACGGGCAGGACGTGGTGGAAGTGACCAATTTTGGCCTTGTTGTCACCTATGACTGGTACAGCCACATCACCACCATGGTGCTAGTGGCTTCACCAATGCCCTGTGTGGGCTCTGTGGGAACTACAATGGCACTGCAAGCAATGACATGATGATGAGGAACAACCATGTGACGTCAGACCCAGATGCCTTCAGGAGCAGCTGGAAGGTCACAGATGTCCCAGGATGTGGTGAGAGGTCAACAGTGGAATGTTCCAGCACCCTTGCACCTTCCTGGCTGCAGCAGGAAGTCTCTGAGATGGGGTGTGAAATTATTTTGGAAGTGGATGGACTCTTTAGAGGATGTCATGGTCATGTTGATGGCCATCAGTACTTCTAGAGCTGCATCCATGACTCCTGCCTGTTCCCTGATCAGGAAGAAGGGATGTGTCCAATCATTGCCCTCTACGCCACCACATGCCAGGCTGCTGGTGTGTCCATTGAGAGGTGGAGGACAGATAATTTCTACTGTAAATTGGGACAATGGGAGGGTTTTTCCTTCAGCAGTATACAAAGGATCCTCAAGTCTGCTCCAAATCTATGTATGAACAACCCAGAGGCGCATGGGAATCCCACCCAAAGTCTTGGTTGATCCCATAATTCACCCAAAATAAACCCTTCCTAAGGAAGAAGTTGTCTCATCTGGAATACCTTACCCCCTCAAAATCTCCAATTTCCTGGTGTTGGCTACAAAGTGGATAATTTAGAGGGAGAACCACCAAAAAATGTACTAAAAATAGTGGAATTGGGTTAAAGGGATCCAGCCTGGAGGTCAGTTGAGGACCCAGTGTGGAGCAATCCCATTCTTTGAGTGAATATTTCATTTTTCGCCATAAAAATGTGAGAAATCGTGTGGTTTAGAGGAAGAATTCCTATTGTAATGGGATGGCATATTCCTTATGGATGATCATTGGATCATCATCAGATAATCGTTGGATTGTCATTTGATGATGCCCCTTGTCATGTGCACAGGGATGAAAATCAAGTTTGCCATGGGCTAAAAAGCTCTGTATTAGGTGAAGTTTGCACTTGAATTCCAGGAAACTTCCAGGATTTGGCTTGGAATTTCCTGGTTCCTCATGAATCCCATTGTCTCCTGGCAGATATTCCCTGTCCTTCCAACAGCTCCAATGAGCTCTGCTCGCACACCTGCCAGCACACCTGCGGCGCTGACTCTGCCACATGCCAAGGGCAGTGCCACGAGGGCTGCATGTGTCAGGATGGCGTCGACAAGTGTGTGCCCATGTCCCACTGCAGCTGCAGCCACCATGGAGTCTACTACAAAGAGGGGGAGACATTCTACCCCACAGAGCAGGAGATGTGCCAGTGCCTCTCTGGTGGCACTGTGGAGTGCCAAAATACTTCCTGTCATGTTGGCCATGGGAAGGTTGTCAGTGATGTCTTCCAGTGTACCTCGCAGGTGTCCAGCACCTGTGTGGCCACAAGGGACCACACCTATGTCACCTTTGATGGGATGGCCTTCAACATCGCTGGTACTTACTCATATGTCCTCACCCAGACCGGTACAGTGTGACCGTGTTCACAGGCATTCTTGGATGAGGGAAGAGACGAGAATATTGACTCCATGTTCAGAAGGCTTGATTTATTATTTTATGATATATATATATATTACATTATGACTATACTAAAAAGAAAAAGGAGGACAGGTTTTCCCAGATGCTAACATCTGGGAATAGAATAGAAAAGAATAGAAAATAAAAAAATGATAACAAACGCAGCTCTCTTGGACTCTGTCTGAGATAGCCTGGTCCTTGATTGGCCATTCATTATAACCATCCAAGATGGGCCAATCACAGGTGGACCTGTTGCATTCCACAGCAGCAGATAACCATTGTTTACATTCTGTCTCTCAGGCCTCTTAGCTTCTCAGAAGGAAAAATCCTAAAGAAGGGATTTTTAGTGAAAAGATGTCTGTGACAGTACAGGTGACAATGTGACATCATTTATTGTCACAATCTAGAAGGAGGAGCAGCAGAAGGGGAAGGTCCCCAGGATCCAAGCATTGTCTGTGGAAGTCTATGGGGTCACCTTGACCTTGAAACACAGAAAATGGGCTGACATCATGGTAAGGCACTTCATGTTCCAAATCTCATGGGATCCCCCCAAACTGAGTTTCTTTGATGGAAGGCACTCCTCAGCCTATCTCCAATTCCAGTCCAACTTTTCTTTCTAAGCAAGATCTGTAAATGCATTAAAACCTTGGTTGGAACCTGCTTTCCCTAAATTTTTCATTCTAGCTCCTATCAACCCTGAAACTCTGTTTCCTTGGTGAGGGGAGCCCTCACCCTATCTCCAAGACTAATCCTTTCTCATCTGAACTTTTCCTTCCAAGTGGGATCCACAAATCTGTCAGAATATTATTTGGAAGGTGTTTTCCCCAAATTTTTGGTCCCACCTCCTCGCTGGAGGACTCTTCCTACTCTATCCCAGGTGGATTCCATCTGTCACTATCTCCCCACCATCCTGAGTGAGGGACAGGTCCAGGTCTACCCACATGGGACAGGTGTCCTGCTCCGCACTGACTTCAGCCTCATTGTCCACTATGACCTCGTCCAGCACGTGATGGTCACAGTCCCCCAGACCTACATGGGGTGCTTGTGTGGCTTCTGTGGCAACCACAATGGCCAATGCAATGATGATTTCCAGCTTTCCAGTGGCCAGCTGGCTCCAGATGCAACAGCCTTTGGATCCACATGGAAAACAACAGATACACCTTGTGATAACACCAGTCCCAAGGATGAGTGTCCCACATGCACAGAGGAAGAAGTGGCAATCCTGCAAAAACCCAGCTACTGTGGCCTCCTCACGGCCCCTGAAGGTCCCTTTGGCTCCTGCCATTGCATCATTGACCCCATCCCATATTCCCAATCCTGCATCCATGACCACTGTATGAGGGAAGGGGACACACATGTCCTGTGCCAGAGTATCCAGAGCTATGTCACTGCATGCCAAGGTGCCAGAGTCACTGTGGGGGCTTGGAGGACATCATCCTTCTGCCGTGAATTTGGGAGGGCACAGGGGCAAATGTCACCTGTTTGGAGTTGGGAAGATCTCCAGGTGATACTGGAGTTTGGGGGGCGCACAGGTGGGGAATGTTCCTTGTTTGGGTCTGGGTGACAGTGGTGACACGCAGGACATGGGATGATGGTGATGGGATGAGCTTTAAGGTCCCTTCCAACCCAAATCAATACATGATTCCATGAAAACTCCAGCCCTCACCTGCCCAGTCAACAGCACCTACTCCCTTAGCACCAACACCTGTGCCAACATCTGTGCCCAAAATACCACAACCTGCCCCCAAACATGCATCGAGGGCTGCCAGTGCCACCAGGGTTCTGTCTGTGACGGACACAGATGCGTTCCCTAAGATTAATGTGGATGCTTTGGGATGGGGAATACTATAAGGTACTTTTTCTGGCCTTTTTTCCTGTTTTTAGTAATTTGTGTCTTTTTTCCCTTCATTTCCCCCCTATTTTTATGGATTTGTTTCATTTTTCCTTGTTCTTCCTTCTTTTATTTTTATATCCTTACCTATATTTTTCCTGCATCTGCTTTCCTTTCTCTCATATTCCTCTGCATTTGCCTCTTTTTCCATGGGGTTTTCTTTATTTTTCTTGGCTAAATGTATTTACATTTTAAAAATTAATTTCCCCCCCATTTTCCCTATTTCCTATGCATTTACACCTTCTTGCATTTTTCCCTATTTTTCTTTCTCCTTTTCCTAGCATTTTTCGCCTTTCCATCCTCCTATTTTTATGTCATATTTCCCCTGCATTTCCTTTCTTCCCCCTATTTTTAGGCAGTTACATATTTTTCTTGCCTGTATTTTTCTCTGTATTATGCATTTGTATTTCTTTTTCTGCATTTTCTCTCAGTTTTCTTATATTTATACTTTTCCCCAGCATTTCCCCTCTATTTTTTTACATTTATGTATTTTTTTCCTGCATTTCTCCTTTTTTTCCTTATTTATAGGGAAGGTATGCATGTATGTCCCTTTGCCTTGCAATTTGTTCACTGTTTTCCCTATTCTTCTGCACTTTTGCCCTTTTTTCTGCATTTTTTCTTTTATCTCGTATTTTCATGGATTTCCCTTGGGACCACCCACCCCAAAGATGGGATGGCATTGATCCCAGGAGACACCCATTGACCCCAGATGACCCCCCAGTAGCCCCACTGCTCCCCATTGACCCCCTTTGTTTCCTCCCTCCCTTTCCCAGCTCTCACCTGCCCCACCAAGAGCCACTACCAGCTGTGTGCCTGCACCTGTGAGCACACCTGTGCAGGTGTGTCGGCCCCACCCCCCTGCAGTGAGCGCTGCTGTGAGGGGTGTCAGTGCGCCGAGGGGCTGCTGTTCCACGGGGCCGCTGCATCCTCCCAGACCTGTGGCTGCCTCCACCAGGGGCGCTACTTCCAGGTGGGTGTGGTCCCAGTGCCTCCCAGTACAGCCCAGTTCCAGCCCTAGCTCCTTCCAGGTTCCTCATGGTGATCCCAGGTCACAGAGTCACAGAATAATGAGGTTGGAAGAGATCTCTAAGATCATCAAGTCCAACCTATGCCCTAACACCTCAACTATAGCAGCAAGTGCCACGTCCAGTCTTTTGTTAAACACATCCAGAGATGGTGATTCTACCACCTCCCTGGGAAGAGCATTCCAGTACTTCTTTCGCTGAAAAATTTTTTCCTAATATCCAGCCTATACTTTTCCTGACGTAGCTTGAGACTGTGTCCTCTTGTTCTGTCAGTTGCTGCCCAGTGGAAGAGACCGATCCTCACCTGTCTACAAGCTCCCTTCAGGAAGTTGCAGAGAGCAATAAGGTCACCTCTAAGCCTCTTCTTCTCCAGCTCCTTCAAACATTCCTCATAGGGCTTGTGTTCCAAGCCCCTCACCAGCCTTGTTGCCCTCCTCTGGACACGCTCAAGCATCTCAACATCCTTCCTAAATTGGGGGCCCAGAACTGGACACAGTACTCAGGATGCCTGGTCTCACCAGTGCCAAGTACAGGGGAAGAATGACCTTCCTGCTCCTTCAGACCACACCATTCCTAATGCAGGCCAGGATGCCATTGGCCTTCCTAGCCACCAAGGCACACTGCTGGCTCATATTCAACTGGCTGTCAACCAGCACTCCCAGGTCCCTTTCCGCCTGAACACTGTCCAGCCACACCGTCCCCAGCTTGTAATGTTGTAGGGTATTTTTGTGGCCAAAATGTAGAACTTGGCACTTAGACTTATTAAACTTCATGCTGTTGGACTCTGCCCATCCATCCAACCGATCTTAGTCTCTCTGCAGAGCCATCCTTCCTTCCAATACATCAACACAAGCTCCCAGCTTAGTGTCGTGTACAAATTTACTAATGAAAGATTAAATCCCCTCGTCCGTGTCGTCTATAACAATATTAAATAGAACTGATCCCAGTACAAACCCCAGAGGGACACCACTGGTGATTGGCTCTCAGCTGGATGCAGCACCGTTCACCATCCCTCTCTAGGCCAGCCATCCAGCCAGTTCCTAGCCCATCAAAGAGTGCTCCTGTCCAAGCCATGGACTGCCAGCTTCTCCAGGAGTGTGCTGTGGGACAGTGCCAAAGGCTTTGCTGGAGTCCAGATACACAACATCCACAGCCTTTCTGCATCCACCAGGCGGGTCACCTGGTCACAGAAGGACACCAGGTTGATCAGACATGACCTACCCTTTGTAAACCCATGCTGACTGGGTCTGATACCCTGGTGTCATGGTTTGAGAAGAAGCGGGTTTATGGTTTGAGAAGAAGTGGGTTTTTTGGGATGCTGTGGTCAAACCAATAGGTGCTCAGATTTGAATATTAACACCTGGTGTGGCCAGCGAGGACATGGATACGCCTCTGAGAACACAGGGGCTTAAAAGCAGAGAACTCCCAGGAAAACCTTCTCTTGGTTCCGGTCAGGGAAAGGTTCATACCTCCCTTGCCCAGCTGCTGTGGCTGGGCAGGGGACGGGAAGCCATGCGGCCGGGTGAGGTAGGCCAGGGCCTTGGACAGAGAAGGGAGGTGAAGAGGCCCTTGAGGATGGAAGGGTGGAGGACACTGGAGAGTCATCGAGCAGCCACCCCCCGCCCCCCCCCCCCCCCCCCAGGAGAGAGAGAGAGAGGGGGAGAGTCGGTCTCTGTGTTTGTACCACCTTGAAATTTGATAGCAGGCCGGCTGAGAAGGAGAAGGGGGGGGGGGGGGGGGGCACTTGGCAGGGCAGTGTGGGAGTTCTGGACAGCAGAGCCTGAGATTTTTAACCCTTTTCTTGGATGATGGAAGCCTTACAAATGCCAATCCTCCTGGAGCTGAATGAGAAGAGAGATAGAGATAAGAGGAAATGGGCCATGAGACAAGTGGAGAAGGATCTTAGGTGGGAGGAGATGCTGGAGTGGTCTTTGGCTGGACTTTTCTTGTATAATCATGGACAGAACCATTTTTCCTGTGACACAGAGACTGCATCTAGGGGGAGGCAATGGCTCGGAGCCAAGAGAGCTCAGTGTTGTTATGTGAAGGAGTGTGTGAACAGAGGCAACGGGTGAGGAGGGTAGTGGTGCCCTCCATCTTCAGTGGAGGGGAAGATCTCTGTTCTTGAGACCCCTTGGCCACAGGGGGTGAAATTTGGGGGGGACAGGTGTCCCGAAAGTGAGAGACTGTGCACTTTTTTTGGAACTGGACAAAGCACCCTTAAAAGGAAAAACCCTAGAAGCAGCTCTGAGAGCACTGCACATGGAAGAGGTCACGATGGCAAATGATCTCCAGGCGGTGCCACGTGTGACAGGAAACACAAGAGGTCTCCACTGTGTTTCCAGGGGAAGCCTATGGCACAAGAGGGACTCTTCACTCCTTGATGAACTGAGAATTGATTATCTAAAGGGTGGTGATGGACTGAGAGTTGGTGATCTGAGGTATGGATGTATTGGAAATTTGGTGGGGGTAGGAGGAACGTTTTTGGAAGGTTTTCATTCTTTCTGTGTGTTTCTTTTTACATATAGTTGTAGGTTAATAAAGTTTTCTCTTCTTTATTCCTAAGTTGGAGCCCGCTTTGCTCTATTCCTGGTCACATCTCACAGCAGACACCAGGGAGAATGTATTTTCAGGGGGGCACTGGCATTGCACCAGCCTCAAAACATGACACCTGGCCATCCTGTAAGTGCTGTGTGATAGTACTCAGTATGAACTGCTCCATTATCTCACCTGGTACTGAGGTCAGGCTAACTGGCCTGTAATTACAAGGATCAATCCTTCCTACCTTTTTTTGTAAATAGGTGTCACATTGGCCAGTTTCCAATCATCTAGAACCTCATCAGCAAACCACAAGTCTTGATAAATGATGGAGCGCAGATTTGCAGGCTCATCTGCCAGCTCCCTCATCACCCTAGGATGGATCCCACCTGGTCCCATTGATTTATATATATCCAAGTGTCCCAGCAGTTCTCTGACTGCCTCTTCTTGGATAACAAGAGGACCATTTTGCTCCCTGGTACCACCTACCAACCCCTGAGGACACTTGTCTTGAGGACAAGCTGTCTTACCACTAAAGACTGAGGCGAAGAAGGGATTAAGCATTTCTGCCTTTTCCTCATCTTTAGTTACTAGGCTGCCTGCCTCATCCAATAAGGAACAGAGGTTGGTTGTACCCTTCCTTTTACCATTAATATATTTGTAAAAACTTTTTTTATTATTTTTAACAGAAGTTGCCAAGTTAAGTTCAAACTGAGCTTTGGCCTCCCTGATTATTTTTCTACATGCCCCAGCAGCTCCCTTAAATACTTCCTGGGAAATCAGTCCCTCCTTTAAAAGATGATATATCTTTTTTTTATTTCTAAGTTCCTTCAAAACCTTGTTGCTCATCCAGACTGGATGTTTGCCTCGTTGACTCATCTTTCGGCACACAGGGACAGTCTGTTCCTGTGCCTTCAGTGTGCCTCCCATAGTGTCCCCAGTCCCTGCCAGTACAGTACAGCATCCCCCACATCACCATTTCTCCCTGTGCGTCCCACTTTCCCCAAACACATCCCCCAGTGGATCCTGCTTTAGCCCAGGGGTGAGAGACCTCAGGGTCTGTCCTCCCCTCCAGTCTCCCCCAGTATTCCCTGTATTGTCCACAGTCCCTACCAAGGTATTCGAGTCCTCCCCAAATTTCCCCCACAGCATTCCCAATCCCTCCAAATTTGTCTCTGTTCCCCCCACAGTGCCTCCCAATGCTTCTTAGTGGGGGAATTTAGTGTCCTTCCCAGTGTCTCCCTCTGTCTTCAGCAGTGTTCCCAGTGTCACCCGGCAGGTCCCAGTTCCCCCATGGGGGACATGGGGGTGTGTGGGGACATGGCCACATGCTGGGGACATGTTAGTGATCCCCATGGGCACCCATTGAGGATATGAAGACACATAGGGGATATGGGAGCCATGGGCCCCATCCCTCCCTCCCTCCCATGAGACCTCATCCCCATTTTTTGGTCATTTTAGGCCACTTTTCCTCACTTTCCACATTTTATCCATGGAAAACAGATCACTGAGACCATCCTGACCTCTGACTGCTCCCAGTCCTCCACCTGCTGGGGGCCTGGGGGCTTCCAGTGCCACCCCTTCACTTGTCCCTTCAGCCACACCTGCAGCCTCCATGACAGCACCCACACCTGCATCGCACACCTGGGGCACTGCACCCTGTCCCTGCCACTCGCTTCATCACCTTTGACAGCATCATCAGGGCCACCCTAGCCACTGGCATCTATGTGGTGGCCAGCGTGTGACCCCTGGGACCCTGTGTGGTTCCAGTTGCTGAGGGAGATCAGGGATGTTGGGGACCAGCTGGCAGTGGTGGCACTTCACCTCTCCACCCTCCACGGCCTCATCACCATGCGGAAGAACAGGAAGGTCTGGGTAAGTTGTCACCATCCTGGCTGGCACCCAAAGATGTTGTCACCACTACATGTTGTCACCCTAAATGTCCTTCTGACCTTCATTTTAATTTGAAAAAAAAACCAATATTTTTTCCCTAATTTCAGACCAGGTAAGAGTCCACATGGGTTGTCCCATCCCACCAGCACCACAGGATGTTCTTACCTTAATTTTGCCCCAGATTGTTCTATTCTGCTCCCAGTTTCCTGCCAGTGAAGCCTGTGTGCTTCGCTAAGAGAGATCCATAAATTGACCCACCCCATAATTTTGACCAAAATTGCTCTTTATTCTCCTAATTTCATGTCAGAGAAGCACCACCATGGGTTGTCCCTCATCCTACCCCCACCATGCCTTGATGCATCCCATAATTTTTCCACAAACTCCCTCTTTTCCACCCAGATTCCTCCAACTACCCTTCACCCCTGTATCACCCCAAATCCCCTTTTTTCCCTTAATTCGGTGTTCTCCAGCTCAACAGGGTCCCCAGCCCCTGCCCACGGAGTTCCCGGGACCGTTGACCATCACGGAGACGCAAACAACCCTCCGGATCAGTCGAACCCCGGGATTTCTGGTGGAACTGGGCGCCGCAGGGGTGACGTGGGCACCTGATTGGTCACTTAATCAATACATTTCACCTAATTGGATAATTAACAAGACATCCATTTGTAAACAATCTTATGAGAAAAACAGAAAAAAACCACCTGCAGGCTGTTTTAATATTTGGCTATCATTGTTTGTCTCCAGCTCCCTACAGCTCCACAGACCAATTCTGGGAAAACTTATCTAGCTTTCTCTCTATCTAGATGTGACCAGGCTGTCACATCCACAATCACCCAGGTGGGTGACACCAGGGGGACACTGGGGGACAGGGACTGGGGGGATTTGGGTGTCTTGGGGTGGCACTAGGGGAACAGTGCCAAAAAAGGGGAGAAAATAGCCTAAAAAAGAGGGAAAGAATCTCCCCTAAAAAAGGGAAAGTATGCTCAAAAGATGGAAAAGAGAACAAAAAGGGGGAAAGGAGTTCCCCAAAAGGGAGAAAAAAAGCCCCAAAAAGATGGGAAAGGAGACCAAAAAGGAGGGGAAGAGCCAAAACTGGGGAAAGTTTAGCTTTCCAAAGACCCCAAAATTCAGGAAAAGAGACCAAAAAAGAGGGAGCAAGAGCACGGGGGGGGGGGGGGGGGGGGCAGGAAATAACCCCAAAAGATGAGAAAAGAGACCTGTAAATGAGGAAAGGAGCCAATAGAGGAAAAGAACTTAGACAAGTGGAAAAGATATCAAAAAAGGAGAAAATAGGGAGGAAAAATGCGGGAAGAATCCCCCAAATTAGAATAAAAACTCAAAGGGATGGGAAAAGAAACCAAAAATTAATGAAGGACCCCAAAATGGGGGAAAGGAATATTAAAAAGTGAGCAAGAGCACAAAAAACAGGGAAAAAGACAAAAAAGAGAGACACCAGAAACGGGGGAAAGAGCCCCCCACAAAGGGGGGAAGAGGACTGGCAGAGAAGCACAAGACAAGGTGGGGGGAAAAGAGTCCAAAACAGGGGAAAAGTGAATAAAAAAGGGGGAAGAGCCTCATAAACTGGGGAAAGAGGCCAACAACAGGGGGGAAAGAGTTCAAAAATGGGCATAACAAGTCCAGAAATGGGGGAAAATACCCCTAAATTGGGGGAAACTACCAAAAAGTCCCCCTGGATTTTGCCTTTCTTCCCATCCAGTGATGTGGAAAATTGACATTTCACCTGGGTAGCTGCGCCCTATCACTGACGTCAGCCTCAAACAGCCTCAGAGCCGGAAAACCCGGAATTTTAGAAGTCTCAGATCTATGCTTTCGCCCTCAAAATAAAACCTGACAGAAAACGCCGTTTGCGTTTGGGTGATGCGGGATAAAATCTTGGGAATTCTGGGAAAACAGGAGTGTGGGAATATGCTGGGGGGCAGTGGGGAGAGGGGGGGGGGCTGGTCCCACCTTGTTCTGCCGCGGGCGGTTCCGTGTCCCCCCTTCCCCCGCCCCCCGTCGGTCAATATTTCCCAACGCCGGAGTCCCACGGGGAGGGAAGGGCGGCGGGGCACCCGGATGTTTGGTGCCGGGGAGGGGGAGGCGAGGGGGTTCCCGGACATCCGAGTCCACAGGGGAGGTGTGTGCTGCGGCACACCTGGAGGTGACCCCTCACCAGTATCCCCAGTTCCTCCCAGTACATGCCAATACCCACCCCGCAGTCCCCCCATGTGCCTCCCAGTATCTCCCAGTATAACAGCCTCCTACTCCCCTGTCCTGGGTTGACTGTATAATGCTTTTCTCTCCCAAATTTGCCCTGAACCAGGACACCCCCCCAGTCTCTTCCAGCCCCCCTCAACTAGCCCCAGTACACTCCCATTGTCCCCAGTCCCTCCCAGTGCATTCCAGTCCTCCCCCACTATTCCCCATGGTGTTCCCAAATCCCTCCCAGTTTGTCCCAGTCCCTCCTGGTCACTCCTCCTGCATCCCAGTGTCACTCAGTGTCCCCCCAGTGCCCTCTTAAGCCTTGCAGTGCCCCCCCCAGTATGTCCCAGCATCCCCCAGTGCCTCCCAGTGCATCTCAGTCCCTCCCAGTTTCCCTCCCCAGTGCCCCTCCAACATTCTCAGTGTCTTCCAGTATGTTCCTGTAGCCCCCCCAGTGCCTCCCACTGAATCCTTGTCACACCCAATGCCCCCTGCCAGTGTCCCCTCCAGCCTTCCCAGTGTCCCCCAGCACATCCCAGCCCCCACCTCAGTGTCCTCCCCAGTCCATCCCAGTCCATTCCAGTCCCCCCCAGTTGCAGTCTGGGCAGAGACGGAACTGCCTGGGGCCCTGGGTGGTGCCACCTGGGGGTGTCCCATGTCATCCCCCACCCCCAGCCTGTCCCCTCCCTGGGCATAAAGTGGCTCCAGTGACAGCACTGGGACAGACTGGGACCATGGGAGTGCAGTGAGTGGGGACACTGGTGGGCATGGGCGATATGGGGCCATATGGGACATGGGGGCACACGTGGGACATAGTGGACACAGGGGAATTCGGGAGGCCAGTGAGGACACACGAGACATGGGGCACATGAGGGGACATGGGGATATGGAGGGGGGGCATGGAGGGGGGGCATGAGGGGCATAGGAAGGACAAAGGGACATGGTGGGGGGGTCACTGGGGACACTGAGGACATTGGAGGAGACATGGAGGGGCATGGGGGGATATGGAGACTCTGGGGACATGGGGAAGATGGAGCGGTCACAGGGGACCTGAGGACATGGTTGATAGGGGATCCCCTCACACTCCCCCAGGCCTGGACACATGAAGGTCTCCCCCGTCGTCATCCTCCTCCTCCTCAGCCACGCAGAGGAGTGGGGACCCCTGGAGACATTGGGGACCCCTGTGGGGCCCCTGGGTGAGTTTGGGGTCCCAGACTTATACTGGGGAGGTGCCAGCCCCATACTGGTAGGCTCTGAAGGTCCCAGTCCCACACCAGGAGGTCTCAGCCCCATACTGGGATATCCCAGCTCCATACTGGGACATCCCAGTCTCCTACCAGCAGGCCCCATGCCCACACTGGGAGGTTGTGGGGTGACACTGGGGGTCCCTGACCTAAATGGGGAACCCCAGGCCCATACTGGAAGGTCCCAACTCCACACTGGGAGGTCCGAGGCGCCATTGGGTGTGTTCCCCAGGTGGCATCCTGTGTGCCACTGGGTGTGTGTCCCAGGTGTGTGACAGGTGTGTGTTCCCAGATACGGTCCTGTACCCCTTCGGACCAGAGGTGGGGGATGAGGCCACCCACCATGAGGACGATGGGACAAGCCCTGAGATCTTCCTGCAGGAAAACTTCTCCTTCTTTGGACGTGCCCACCGCTCACTCTATGTGGGTCATGTGACCAGGGGAACATGGGGGAGGTGGCATTTGGTGGGTAACACAGATGGAGGGTGACACCAAGGGGAGGGTGACAAGTTGGATGCAGCCACCAGAGTTGATGTCACCTCTTCTTCCTCCTCCTTGACTACATTGGTGAGTGGGGACCCCTGGGTACATGAGGGATACTCATGGGGGTCCCTGAAGACATTGGGCACACCTATGGAGCCCTCAGGTGGTTTTGGGGTTCCAGCCCTATAATGGTAGATTCTGGGGTGACCTGGGGCTCCCAGGCTCATACTGGGAGCTTCTGCATTGACTGACTGGAGGTTGGGGGTCATCACAGTTGAGGCCACCATGACAGGGACCACCATAGTTGAGATCCCCATGACTGGGGTGACACTGTACCTGGGACCACCATGCAGGGTCACTGTGGTTGGTGCCACCCAGGTGTGTGCCATGGGTGACCTTTGCCTGCAGGTGAACAACAATGGTGTGGTGTCCTTTGGGACAATGGTCCCGGAGTTCACCCCCCAGCCCTTCCCACTGCCAGGCCATCGCCCCTTTGTGGCACCTTACTGGGCTGATGTGGACACCCGTCTGGGAGGAGATGTCTTCTACCGGCAGAGCCGGGACCCCCAGCTGCTGGCACGCCTGGCCCAGGACCTGGCACCTGCTGTGCCACCTGGAGACCAGCCCCCACAGCCGACCTGGGCATTCGTGGCCACCTGGGACCGTGTGGCCTATTTTGGGGCTGCCTCAGACAAGGTGGGATATGGGGCAAGGTGGGGGGGCTCAAATATCTTGACCTTCAACCATGATGTCCCTAACCATGGTGGCACCAATGGTTTGGGGACACAGGGATGGAGACATAGCTGGGGGTGATGGTAACATGGTGACAATGTCCCTCTGCAGGTGAACACCTTCCAGGCTGTGCTGGCCTCAGATGGTGTCACGTGCTTTGTCCTGCTCAACTACGGAGACTTGCAGTGGACAACTGGCATTGCTAACCAGGGGGATCCCCACACTGGCCTGGGGGGCATCCCTGCACAGGTGGAGACACAGAAAGGCAGAGGAGACACTGGGCATGGGGACATCCCTGTGCAGATGAGGACAGTCCAAGGGATGGGGGACACTCAGCTAGGAGGGATTTTGGGCTTGAGGGGGGTAAAGCATTTTGGGGTGGAATGAAGGAGATTTGGGTGGGATTAAAGGGATTTGGGGTGAAATTAGGGTGGTTTTAAGTAGGATTTAAGGGAATTTGGGGTAGAATTAACTAATTTGTAGTGAAATCAGGGAGATTTGGTCTGAAATCAGAGGTATTTAGGTGGAATGAAGTGTATTTGGGGTGAAATGAATCTCATTTTTGGTAAAATTCAACGGGAATTTGGGCAAAATTTACCCCCCACCTTCTCCCATCCCCCTGTTCCCCTCCCTTCATGTTCCCCCCTCTTCCCTCATCTTCCCTCCTGCAGGCTGGGTTCAACAGTGGAGATGATGTCCACTACTACAATGTGCCAGGATCACGCACACCTGCAGTGCAGACCCTCAGCCACCGCAGCAACCTGGGGGTCCCGGGGCGCTGGGCTTTCCGTGTTGACCACTTCAAGGCCACTGAGGGACCCCCCGAGACTCCTGGCACCCTGTCAAAGACCCCTGAGGCCCCCTGGAGTCCATTGCCACCCCACAAGATCCTCTCAGTATCCCCCAACCCCCCCAAGACCACAGAGGAGCAGGTGTATGTCTGTGGGTCATGAGCAGGTGACACCTGGGACATTCGGGGTAGGGGGGTTGCCTAACTGCCCTCACCTCACCCCCCACTGAAGGACGTGGTCCCACGAAGGCTGCATTATGATGGAAACAGCAATAAATACCCAATGAGCAACACCTGTATCAGCTGTGTGTACACAGATGCATGTAGGCAGCAACACAGATGTCATGTCTGAAATGTGTATGCATCCCCACTTGTTCCCATGAAGGTGATGGAATTAGCTGGGGAGGGAAATTGTCAGTGAGAGGCAAAAACATCTGGGTTGGACATGGATGTGACAGACATACACCTGAGTCACAAAGATGTGTGGCATAGATACATCTGGATAACATCTGATGCAAAATGCACTACACCTGGACAGCACCTAGCTCACACACTCCTACATAGTGTTACACCTGGACAACACCTGAGTTCCACACAGGTGTGGATCCACCTGGATAACACCTGCTACAATACAGCACTCCACCTGGACAACACCTGGGTTGCACAGAGGTGTAGCATGACCTGGACATCACCAGCCCAGCCAAGGGCCCCAACACTGAAACCAAGGGCAGAGTAAAGGAAAGGGTTTGTGTTACAGTTAGGGTTAGAGGTTACAGTTAGGGGTTAGGGGTTAGTGGTTAGGGTTAGGGCTGTGGTTTGGTTAGGTGTAGGTCTAGGACTTACAGTTTGGGTAGGTTAGAGTTAGATTAGGGGTTATTGTTAGAGTCAGAGGTTCAGGATGCTTTTATTAAATCACTGTAAGCTTTAATTTAATATTGGAGTAGCCTAACTTTTCAGTATTAGTATCTGTAGTTATCCTTTTGGGGGCAGGATGTCACTGATACTAATGCAGTGCTAGATTTTTAGTGAGAAATGTTTTTCAGTCCAGGGTGCAGGGATGGTGCAGAGGAACTTCTAAAGTGATTCAATATTAAGCCCTATTTTGCTTTACACCAGCCCTGTCCTTTTTTACAGATCTTTGGTGAAGACAAAGGGGTCAGGTTTACTTTCTAAATTAGTTACACTTTCGAAGATCTGTTTATTAACTGACACCAAGATCACTTAGGAGCAGCTTATCATTGGTATGGGGAGGAGCCCAGAAGAGAGGGGGCTGATGGAGATGTCTCAAACACGGAGAGCCATCCAAGGACTGTTGGTGAAGAAGCAAGAACCTGATGTGACTGTGGAAGGGGCCATGTGAGGCTAGGGCACCACTTTTCTGGCACTAACATCCTTTTTCTAGTCCCTGGAGACACAACAAACTAAAGACAGCATCAGCACAGGAAAGGGCAGGATCTGTCCACCAAAGATTGATCTAGTGGGGAGGAGAAGTGACCACTCAAGACCCCCAAAGCCTCCAACCCACTTCAAGAAAGATCTGAAAGAATAGACTGAGCATGAGAATTAATGTCCAGAGACAGTCACAGCTGTCTGTAAAATAGTATCAACACCAAGTCCAGGCACTGCCTTCAGGACCGTGATTATCCCATGGCTTCCCTCCCTCCCTCCCTCCCCTGGCAGCTCTGGACAGAGATCTGTATCTGAAACTTGTCTGTGGCCTTATGGCTCAGGAGGTGGCGAGGGTGACCTTCACTGAGATGTCTGCAGAGGAATCCTCATGAACCGGTTTCTTTTCCATCCCTGTTGGAGGTACCCGGGCCTCATAGCGGAACCCCCGGTGCCCGCCTCGGGGCAGCTGCGGTGGGAGCTGCAGGTTGTGCCAGGGTGGGGAATGGCCAGGGTCTTCGGCAAGGGGTCGGGAATGGACACTGATCCTTTTCTGACCATGAGCTCGGGGCCCTGCGGCGCCGGGCGGGGGGAACCCGGTCACCGGGGACTGTGAGGGAGTCGGGAACAGCGAGAGACTCCGGGCTAAACATTAGCACCGGGGCCCGGGGGAGCCTCCCTGTCCCAAACTCCCATCTGCGGCACGGGGGCAGCTCCCGGGATCTTTAGGGCAGGGAGCAGCCGTAGGTGGGAGTTCAAAGTCCCTCCCCTGGGGCAGCATTTTGTCCCGATCCGAGGGAATAACTCAGGGTTGGAGTCCCTCGGGGGCCCGTAAGGAGGGCCGGAAGGGTCTCTTGAGGTTTTTCAACCTAAGCAAAGCGGTTTCAAGCCCCTCTCGGTGCTTGGAGCGCTGGCACAGCTCCGGCATGGGAAGAGCGGCCCTAGGCGAGCTGTGGGAGCTGGAAGCGGCTGCCCGAGGCCGCAGCGGTGCCGCAGAAGCCGCAGGAGGAGCGGCCGCGCTGCCCTGGAGCGGAGCTGGACACTGCGGCCGCGGGGCGCTGCTGAGAGAGCGCAGTGATTCCCGGTGCCGCGGCAGCGCCTGCTGGGTGCCTCCCTGGAGCCTTCCTGGGGAGTGCCGGGCTGTGAGAAGAGAGCAGGTGCCTTGGGGGCCGGGAGCGGCTGCGAGGGCTGTGCTAGGCTGCTCGGGCTGCGCTCGGCCCCCGGCGCAGGCGGGTCCGTGTGGCCGGGCCGGCACCGTCTCTGCAGCGGGCTCCGGGGCGAGCGGCCCGGCCCGGTTGTGGCCAGGAGGAGCCTGGCCGGGCTTGGAGGTCTGGGCTGAACTGTGCTGGGAGGAAAAAGGCTGATGGAGACTTGTTGAAACATTTTCAAACACTCAGTGGGAAACTATTTTAAAACCATGTGCAGTGTAATATATGTTATAAAGTAAGTCATGCTCAAGGAGAGAATGTATGTTATAAAATTATAAAATCCAACGAGTCTCTGACCACAAGCAGCCCAGGGATAGATAACTACTCCGGAATTTCGAAATTCCCGAAGGCAGCAGAATAGCGCCTAGTTTACCTATGAATAGACGTGGCCAGCGTGATGAACGGCCGCCTCCGAGGCCATCCAAGGGTGATCATCACTTGATAGATACCATCAATCAAGATAACCAAAGTCGTCAAGAGAGAGACGTCTGAACATGCCACTTCCCCTGACATGATCAGTGCTTGCTACTACTCAGGAAATAGCGATTGTCCAGCCCTGCACAGTGAAAGAAACTTTCATGCATATACAGGGTTACAAAAGAAATCGGGGTACCTCTGCCTCAGGCATAAAAAACAGCCTCACTGGAAGCGGCATGCGTGAACAGAGGGAGATCCGATGCGATAGAGGTCGGATCTGTGTTCACCCAGCGCCATTCCCGGGCTCAATGCTGTCTCTTTGGCTGTGGGTTTTTGATGACCATATTTTGGTCGCGAAAATAAAATCTTTTGCATTTATTAATTTGGATTTCTGGCTGATCATTTATAACATGCTGTATGGTGTGTTACAGATGGTGTTTTCCTTCAAGATACTTTAAGAGTTGATTTAATTTTTTTTTTTTTTTGTGGGCTTGTAAAAAGCTTCTGTTGCTGTGCAGGTTCTAGGCAGCCTCTGGTGCCTGGCTGGGAAATGTCTCTGGGGCACACACCTGCAGAGGGAGCTGGGCCCTCAGGACTGCTGGTGCTGCTCACGGAGCCTCCTCGCAAAGGGGATATAGGGAGATCCACAGTCAGAGGTATCGCAGCTTCACACTTTTGTGTGCACTTTGCAGCTTTTTGTTCTGGAAAAAAATTGCCTTTTTGGAACCCAGATTTCACTGTAACTGTTGGAAAGGCTTAACTATTGCGGCTTAACTATTGCAGCATTCTAAGGCAGTTTGCTTAAGATGAAGAGTATTTGTTTAAGAGCCTCCTGGTTGTCCAGCATGGGTGTTGTGACTTTGTGAAAAACATGTTCACTCTCCTGTGAAAATTTAAAAAAATTTAATAAAGGACAAGAGGAGACAAGGACCATAGAGAAAAGGGTATTATGGCCATGTGCATATTGGCACTCAGCCAAGACCACACTGTGAGAAACGACTGTTCACTTAAAAATTTAAAGGGTTTATTAAACCTTAACAAAAATACAAGAAAAGGACTAAATAAGGAAAAGCAGGCCTTGGAACTGCCCTCATCGCTGCCCACCACGTGGCTGGCTCCTCTTCAAGATGAATGTTTCACCTTTTATATCTCTAGCCCCTCCTAGAGCCTTGTCAGTCAACTCCTTCCTTGCTGTCCAGTGGTAGAAGTCACTTACATTCTGATTGGAGGTCAGATGCTGCCACAGTAACAAGCCAACCTTCCCAAATCTGTGGATTAGCAAAACCATCGCATGGTAAAACATACTGGGGAGAGGACATTGCAGTAATGCAACTATACATTTATATAACTTCTTGTACCATACAGATAATGTTTACCCCTTAATTGTGAGAGCCAACCATTTACGCATCTATAACAACACTATCACCTTTGGGGATACCCCTTCTGCTGTGAAAACCAGCAATGGTCCTGCTTACTCATTGCAGAAGGTGCAGCACTTCCTGCAGTTGTGGCCTGTGTCAGACAAATTTGGTATCCCTCTTTCTCCAACTGGTCAAGCTATTGTAGAACGCGCTCATGGTACTCTGAAGCGGGTTCTTCAAAAACAAAAATGGGGAATGCAGGGTGAAACCCTGCACAGTCAGTTGGCAAAAGCTTTGTATACCATAAATAATCTTACTGTGCAGCAGAATTCAAATAACCCTGTCATTTTGAATCATCATCTCTTGTTGCAGGCTGCGGATGAGGTACATCAGCCTCGAGCAAAGGTTTGGGTGTAGAATTTAGTCACCAAACAGTGGGAAGGTCCCTATGACTTTATCGCTTTGGGGCGTGGGTATGCATGTGTATCTGCAGATACTGGGGTATGCTGGGTACCTTTGAAGTGTGTTTGTCCTAACCTGTGACCACAGAGACAGAATCCAGCTGACAGGCAAAATGGAAACTGTGACCAAACTGAAAGTCATCAGGTGGCTGAATCATTGAGTGATGACTCAGATGCAGACAACGCGAGTGATCACTCCAATGATTCCTCCACGAGTGGACACTGAACATTGTTCAATTTTTCCTTTTAACATTGTTCATTTTTCTTTTTCTTTTTCTTTTTTTTTAATCAAAAATGGGTGAGATGCGCCCTGTTCTTCTAAGCCTTCTG